CTTTACAGTTATTTTAAGTGATGGGTCTTATTTCAAATCTTCTGTACATCCGTTGTGTTCAGATCTTACTTCCTATTATAATGGGAAAATAGAAGCTATTAAGACTTTAAACTTGCTCTTTTTCCTTTTGTTTTATTTAGAAAAGGCATCCTGGGTGCTAAGTTGGTATTGATCTGTTATCTAATTCTCAGTGCCTTATGATATTTCAGGGATGTTGCCACATTGGCTATTCTCTCTCACTTTTGCATCTTTACCTTCTCCCTCAGTTCTACCTTCACATTAGCCATTTAGGTTCTTGTCTCTTATGTTTCCTTGTTTATTTATTTGTTTTAAAGAATTAGTTCAGGGAGCTGGGGAGGGATAGCCTGGGGAGAAATGCCAAATGTGGGTGAGGGGCAGGAAGGCAGCAAAACACACTGCCATGTGTGTACCTATGCAACTATTTTGCACGTTCTGCACATGTACCCCAAAACCTAAAATGCAATAAAAAAGAAAAGAAAAGAAAAAAAAAAAGAATTAGTTCTAGGTGTAGAACAACAGACACTCATATGTTCATGGTGGAAGTATAGTCTTGGTGCAGTCAATTTGGAGGGCAATTTGAGACTTAGTATCTGTTGAACCTAAAAATGTATGTAGTCTTTGACCAAATTATTTTACTTTTTAGAAATTTACCCTATTGATATACCAAACACATATATGAAAATTATATACAAAGATATGTTACTGCAGTATTTGTGATAGAAAAAGACTGGTAACTATCTTTGTTATATCTTTCAGTAGTTATGTATCCATTTATGTTTCCATGCCTTTAATGCAGACTTTAAAATTCACACCATTCTGGGAATTATTTTTTTGTCATTTTTCTTTTCTTATTTAGAGCCAGGATCTCACACTGGTGTCCAGGCTGAGGTGCAGTGGCATGATCATAGCTCATTGCTGCCTCAAACTACTGGGCTCAAGCAGTCCTCCCACTTCAGCCTCCCTAGTAGCTAGGACTACAGGTACATGCTGCCATGCCGATTATTTACTTTTTTTAGAGACATGGTTTTGCTATGTTGCCCAGGTTGGTCTCAAAATCCTGGTTTCAAGTGATCCTCCCACTTCAGCCTCCCAAAGTGTAGGGACTACAGGCGTGGGCCACCTCACCTGTCCACTAATTAATTTTCTTTTAGAATTTTGAAGGAGTACACCATTATCCAGTATTGCTCTTGAAGTTTGCTGCCATTCTGATTTCTATTTTGTATAGTTCTTTTGCCCACTTCTAATGAAGCTTTTAAGATATTCCCTTTCTCCTTGATGCATGGTGTTAAAATTTGATGTGATATGATCTTGCATTCATTGTCCAGAGCATTGGCTGAACCCTGTCATTATTTTCAGTCTTGGGAAATTTTCTTTTCTCAGTTCTGGGAAAGATTACTTTTTTGATAGTTTTATTTTTTCCTTTTCCTCTGTTCTTTGTGACCTTCTGTCCTGGTCTGCCAATTAAAAAAATTTTTTTTCTCCTTTTTATCTACTTTTTGTAAAATTGTTTTAACTTCCTCTTTCAGTTCTTCTATTGAATTTTTAAATTCCTATTATTTTTAATTTCTAAGAACTGCTTTTACCCATTTGTTAAGAGTTTTTAAAACATTATAAATTGTTGAATTTTATCAAATCTTTTTTTTTTTTTTTTGAGATGGAGTTTCGCTCTTGTTACCCAGGCTGGAGTGCAATGGTGCGATCTCGGCTCACCACAACCTCCGCCTCCTGGGTTCAGGCAATTCTCCTGCCTCAGCCTCCTGAGTAGCTGGGATTACAGGCACGCACCACCATGCCCAGCTAAGTTTTTGTATTTTTAGTAGAGACGGGGTTTCACCATGTTGACCAGGATGGTCTTGATCTCTTGACCTCATGATCCACCCTCCTCGGCCTCCCAAAGTGCTGGGACTACAGGCTTGAGCCACTGCACCTGGCCTATCAAATCTTTTTCTATGTCTATTGAGATCATATGATATTTTCTCCTTTAATCCATTATGGTGGTAATTCTGTGAAGCAGTTTTTTAAATGTTTAATCACTCTTGAGTACTTTGAATAAACTTACGTGATCATGCTTTTTTTACATTGCTGTGTTCATGTGTTATTAATTTGTTCATGAGCTCATGTATTGTATATACCTATGTCCATGAGTGAAATCAGTTTGTAATTTTCCTTTTGTACTGCCCTTGTCTGGTTTTGGAATCAAGGTTATGCTGGTTTCATGAAAGTTGGCTGGGGCTGCAAATTATACTTACAAAAGACAAATTAACAAGAGGAAACAGAAAGTTATTAATATATGCATGGTACATATAGAAGGAGAGCTCAGTGATGAGTAACTCAAAGAGGTAATTAGAACTTGGGCTTACATAGCATCTTAACAAAGAATAGTAATTTTTTAGAGAAGTGACAAGACAAAGGAAAAGGACATTGAGCTTTTAGGGAAAGCAAGTTGTGGGAACACAAATGTATGGGGAAACTAATGGCGGATCAAGGGTAGTTAGCAAGGTTTGTTTGTGTTGACTCTCAGTGCCGTGCTGTCTCAAGTGATGACTCTTTAAAAAAATTTCCGGGAACGATTCAAGATGGCCGATCGCTAACATCTTGGGATTGCAGCTCTCAGTGAAAGCGCAGAGAACGAGAGGACACCACACTTTCAGACAAATTTTGGTCGCTCACGGAGCAGAAGATTCCAAGTGGAGGAGCTGCACAGGTTGCCAGCGCAACTCTTGTGGCCGGCGCAGCGGTTTTGCCAGCACCTCGGCGTGGCAGCTCTTGGTGCAGAGTAAACGGGACTGGTTCCCCTTCTGACCGAGGTTCGGAGAAGCTGCACGGGTCGCCAGCACGACTCTTGTGGCTGGCGCAGCGGCTTTGCCGGCACCTCGGCGTGGCAGCTCTTGGTGCAGAGTAAACGGGACTGATTCCCCTTCTGACCGAGATTTGGAGCTCCAGGAAGGTAGAGTCGCCTATTACAGACTCAAGAAGGAAGCCAGACTGGAGATTCCCAGGCAGAAAAGCACCATCAGTCTTAATGCCGTTGTTTTGGCCGGCGCAGTGGGTTTCTTATATTTTGGCTCTGGGAATTAACAACTTGGACGACCACTCAGAGACCTAATCTGAAAGTTGGTAATTACAAAGACGACAGGTGGATAAATTTACAATGATGGGAAGAAACCAGCGTAAAACGGCTGAGAATACTCAAAATCAGAATGCTTCTCCCTCTAAAGAGGATCACAGTTCCTCATCAACAAGGGAACAAGGCTTGATGGAGAACGAGCGCATCCCATTAACAGAATCAGGCTTCAGAACATGGATAATAAGAAACTTCTGTGAGTTAAAAGAACATGTTGTAGCCCAATGTAAAGAAACTAAGAACTTTGAAAAAAGATTTGACGAAATCCTAATGAGAATAGACAACTTAGAGAGGAATATAAGTGAATTAATGGAACTGAAGAATATAATACAGGAACTCCAAGAAGTATACACAGGTTTAAACACTCGAATTGTTCAAGCAGAAGAAAGGATATCAGAGGTTGAAGTCCAGCTTAATGAAATAAAACGAGAAGACAAGATTAGAGAAAAAAGGATAAAAAGGAATGAGCAAAGTCTCCAAGAAATGTGGGACTATGTGAAAAGACCAAATTTACATTTGATAGGTGTACCTGAATGCGACGGAGAGAATGAATCCAAGCTGGAAAATATTCTTCAGGATACTATTCAGGAAAATTTTCCTAAACTAGCAAAATAGGACAATATTCAACCCCAGGTAATATAGAGAACACCACAAAGATATTCCTCAAGAAGAGCAACTCCAAGGCACATAATTGTTAGATTCACCAGGGTTGAAATGAAGGAGAAAATACTAAGGGCAGCCAGAGAGAAAGGTCAGATTACCCACAAAGGGAAGCCTATCAGACTTACAGCAGATCTCTCACCAGAAGCTCTATAAGCCAGAAGAGACTGGGGGCCAATATTCAACATCCTTAAAGAACAGAACTTTCAGCCCAGAATTTCATATCCAGCCAAACTAAGCTTCACAACTGAAGGAAAAATAAAATCTTTTATGAACAAGCAAGTACTCAGAGATTTTATTACCACCAGGCCTGCTTTACAAGAGCTTCTGAAAGAAGCATTACACACAGAAAGAAACAACCAGTATTAGCCTTTCTAAAAATATACCAAAAAGTAAAGAGCACCAACATAAAGAAGAATTTACATCAATGAATGGATAAAACAGCCAGTTAGCAGCAAATGGCAGTAATCCTAAATTTAAATCAACTAAATCCCCCAATCAAAAGGTACAGCCAAAACCCAACGGCATGCTACATCCAGACCCATTTCACATGCAAGGATACACAAAGACTCAAAACAAAGGGATGGAGAAAGATTTACCAACCAAATGGAGAGGAAAAATAAATAAATAAATAAAAAGCAGGAGTTGCAATTCTCGTATCTGATAAAATAGATTTTAAAGCAACAAAGATATAGTGGTAAAAGGATCAATGCAACAACAAGAGCTAACGATCCTAACACCCAGATACATAGAGACTTAGACTCAATGAGACAGAAAATTAATAAGGATATCAAGAACTCGAACTCAGATCCGGAACAAGTAAACTTAGTAAATATTTATAGAGCTCTCCACTTTAAATACACAAAATATACATTCTTGTCAATACCACATCACACCTACTCATAGGTTTAAATGAAATATTGATTGGCCATTATTAATACCTGTTTTTTTTTAGAATAAAGCAACATTTCCCTTCTCTCTCCCTCTTTTTCTTCCTCTTTCTTCCTCTCCTTCACTCCTTTTTTTTCTTTCCCTCTCTTAAAAAAAGAAGAAAAGAAATCAACTTGTAGACCTCTAGATCCAGGTCAGCAATGTCTCTTTCATTGCCTGATTTCCTTCCTTCCCTTCTCTCCCTCCCTCCCTCCCTTCCTCCTTTCCTCCCTTCCTCCCTTCCTGCCTTCCTCCCTTCCTGCCTTCCTCCCTTCCTCCCTTCCTCCCTTCCTACAATAAATAAATAAATAAATAAAAATAAAAATTTCCTTCCTGGTAAGGGAAGTGCTTGGGGGACACTTTCGCAAAGGTAAATGAAAGGTAGATGGGGGCAGGGAGGCAGAGAACTTGTCCTGCATCTGCTTTTTCTCAACTGCCTACAGCGCAAAATAATTCTTATGCCAGGGTAGCATATTCTAGGGTAGCATACACTGAACCCCTTCATTAGAATTAACTAAAAGCACAGCATGTAATTCTTTGGTACCATTTACCAGATGGAGGACTGTGTATGTATAAGTCTTTGATAGCAGTAAAAGCGACTATTGTTCCCAAAACTTTCTTGAGGAATTCCTGTGAATTTCTTGGGTGGGAATAACACACTCATGTGAAACCTATTTGGGATTAGGTTTGTAGAAACCTATTCATGTGAAACCTATTTGGGAAAGATAGTAGAAATAAAACAAACTGTATGATCTGTCCACAGTCTTGAGAATTTACCAGCACTTGGGAAAAATGAGCAAGTGCTTAAAGAGAAGAATATCAGTGTAAAGGAGCATGGACTACAAGTCTGCTAAGTGGTACAGGCAGTAATTACAACCATTAAACCACTCAGAAGAATATTTTATCTCCAAGGGATATAAAGGTAAAGCTTTTTGTGGGAAGCAGCATGTACTTTGGCATTAAAAAAAGAGAAGGAGAACAGAAAGTAAGTAGAAAGCGTAAATAAAAAGGAGACAGAGCAGGCATTTTAGACTGAGGAAATTATATGCAAAATACAGGAGAGTTGGGGAGGGACGTCAGTGTTGGAGTATTCCTGTTACTTGTTGGTATCATCACTCACCCAAGTCTTCTTAGACTCCTCCCCATTAACGCAAAGATAATATTTAGAAGAAACAAAGAACATTTTTGGAAGGAGAGTAAGAATTATGACTCAGTTTTGAACGTGAGTGACCAGAATAATAGGTTTTAAAAATATTTGGGGTAGGGAGGTAGTTTGAAGGAGATGATAATGAGGAGAGAGACCCCTTCTTTTAATATAGGAACAAAGAAGAAAAAGGTAGGTGAATACACTAAGAACTTCCAATTAAAAGATGAGGGGTCTTGTAGTTATCTGTCTCCCTTCTGTGTGTTACAGAATGCGGCTACATAGCTTTGTACCTTGAGGGACTTAACAAGGGTTAGTTAATTATAATCAACCGTGGGAACACACTGTTCTGAACAAAGCATTATTCACTTGCCACCTATTTTGGGAGTTCATGTGTAAGCATACAAAATTACCATTAGATTGTTTCAAAATGGTAGACCTACATTTTAAAATAAGAGCATTTATTTCACATGTTTAAAATAAGGGATATGTAAATCCTCCCTTTCTCCCTACTCACCCCTGCTTTTCACAGGCAATCATTGTTGACATCATCTTGTGCTTCATTCTAGAAAAATTTGGTGTATATGTATATAAAATTACATATTATGTGTTACATGCAAGTATATATTAACATATGTCTTGATAATGCATTCATACTATGTATCTTGAAACAATTTCATCTACTTTTAATTATGTAAAATCTTACCTCTTTTCCTTTGGCTTCTGGCCCCATTTCCTTTGTATAGGGAAGTACACTATGGAGATATAAATTCCAAATACCTGTTTTGTTTGTCACTCCAATTTTCTATTTCATTGCATTCACATTGGATTAAAGTTGCTTAAAACAGCAAAACATTTTCCGTTTTTGTTTAAAATTTTTCTGTCTTAAAAAACTTTTTTGATATTAAAAAATGTGAGTAGAATGCATGGAAATATTGGTCAAATTTGTTGGTATTCAGTATTTCTGTGAGTAGTGTTTATTAGCTCCTTTGTTTGGCATATCCTTACAGTTTCCTCCCACTAGAGGGCACCAGGATATTGTTTGTTTTTAGTGGTCTGTTTATGATGAACTTACCATTAATTTTCATATGTTTCTTATTTGTCCTGCATTTTAATAGGAATAAAATCTTCATGCTGATGTCACTTTGTTAGGGATATATGGACAATTAACTTACTTTCCCTGTTATCAGTTATAATTTTGAAGACTATTTTGTGCTTAATACTTAAGAAAAGGAGAGGGGGAGCTTAGAGCAATGGGAAATAGAGTCCAGAAATAGACCTCTACAAATATAATGAACTGGATTTTGAAAAAGAAGCCAAGATAATTCTGTGGGGAAATTTTTTTTTTCAGCAAGTGGTGCTGGAACAATTAGATATCTTTTTGGGGGGAAAGTGAACTTTGTTTCTGATCTCATTCCAAGTATAGAAATTAACTCAAAATGGATCATAGACTAGAAGAAAACAGGAGAAAATCTTCATGACCTTGTGGTAGACAAAACTTTCTTTGCACACAAAAAATACTCTAAAATGAAATGTTTAGGGCTGGGCATGGTGGCTCACGCTTGTATCCCAGCACTTTGGGAAGTTGAGGCGGGCAGATCATGAGGTCAAGGGTTTGAGACCAGCCTGGCCAATATGGTGAAACCCTGTCTCTACTAAAAATACAAAAATTAGCTGGGCGTGGTGGTGCGTGCCTGTAGTCCCAGCTACTCGGGAGGCTGAGGCAGAAGAATCGCTTGAACCTGGGAGACAGAGGTCGCAATGAGCCGAGATTGTGCCACTGCACTCCAGCCTGGGTGACAGAGCAAGATTCCGTCTCAAAAAAGAAAAGAAAGACACAGGTAAGTAAATAAAAAGGCAAGCCACAGACTAGGAGAAAATATTCACAATACATATACCAGAAAAATGACTGGTATTTAGAATTCATATAAATAAATCTTACAACTCAGTAATAAGATGAACAATCCAGTTTCTTAAACGGGCAAATGATTTGAACACACATAACCCCAGAGATACTACATGAATACCAGTAAGCACATAAGATACTCAATATCATGAGAGAAGTGCAAATTAAAACCACAGTAAGATACTGCACGCCTGCTAGAATGGCTAAAATTAAGAGTAACAGTAGCTACTACTGATGAGGATGTGGGACAATTGTAATGAGCATGCATTGCTGGTGGAAAACAGTTTATTATAAGTTTAATATATACTTAACAGGTGACCCAGCTGTTCCACCCTTCCTTATGAATTTACCCAAGAAAATGAAGCCCGTTGTTCACATGAAGACCTGTACACCAGTGTCCAAGGCAGTTGATTCATAATGACCCCAAAGTAGAAACAACACCAAATGTCTACCAATAAGTGAATGGAAGGCCGGGTGCAATGGCTCACGCCTGTAATTGCAGCATTTTGGGAGGCTGAGATAGGTGGATCATGAGGTCAGGAGTTCAAGAACAGCCTGGCCAAAATGGTAAAACTCCATCTCTACTAAAGATACAAAAAATTAGCCAAGCATGGTGGCATGCGCCTGTAGTCCCAGCTACTTGGGAGGCAGAGGCAGGAGAATCACTCAAACCCAGGACATGGAAGTTGCAGTGAGCTGAGATCATGCCATTGCACTCCAGCCTGGGTGACAGAGTGAAACTGTCTCAAAAAAAAAAAGTGAATGGATAATAAAGTATGGTACACCCATGTAAAGTGCTAGCAGTAAAAAAGAACTACACATGGAACAATATGGATGAATCTCAAAAACATTAAGTGGAAGAAGCTAGATGATATAAAAGAGTATTTATTTTATGATTCCACATGATTTGCATGACATTCCATAAAAGGCAAATCTATCTGTAGTAACAGAACAGATCAGTGGTTGCCTTGGGCTGTGGTGGTGGTGAGACGAGTCAGAAACAAAAGAGAAGCAAGGTAAACTGAAGTAACCAAAAATTCTAAGTGTTACAAAGGAAACAAAGCAGGTGGCAGTATGTGTGAAGTCTAAGTTGGAAATACTGTCGATGGAGTAAAGTGAGCAAAGGAGTGAGTGGTGGGGGTGGGGATTGGAGAGCTAAGTAAGGGACCAGGTAATGTGGAAAGAGTCCTTAAGAGGGGCGGGGCCTGGGCGTGGTGGCTCATGCCTGTAATCCCAGCACTTTGAGAGGCCAAGATAGGCAGATCATGAGGTCAGGAGATCAAGACCATGCTGGCTAACATGGTGAAAACCCCTCTCTCACTAAAAATACAAAAAATTAGCCACCAGGTGTGGTGGCATGCGCCAGCTACTCAGGAGGCTGAGGCAGGAGAATTGCTTGAAGCCAGGAGGAGGAGGTTGCAGTGAGCTGAGATCGTGCCACTGCACTCCAGCTTGGGTAACAGAGTGAGACTCCATCTCAAAAAAAAAAAGAGGGATGGGAAGTGGGGAGGAAAAAAAAAGAGAGTCCTTAAGAACTTGGCAGGGAACAGACTAGAGCACAAATAGAAATCCTTCCTTCAACTGGACGCAGTGGCTTATGCCTGTAATCCCAGCACTTTGGGAGGACGAGGCGGGTGGATCACCTGAGGTCAGGAGTTTGAGACCAGCCTGGCCAAGATGGTGAAACCCCATCTCTACTAAAAATACAAAAATTATCCAGGCATGGTGATGGGCGTCTGTGATCCCAGCTACTTGGGAGGTTGAGGCAGGAGAATCACTTGAACCCAAGAGGCAGAGGTCAAAGTGAGCTGAGATCAGGCACTCCGGCCTGGGCCACAGAGCAAGACTGTTTCAAACACACACAAAAAAGAAGCAATCCTTCCTTCAGTGAGAGAGGGTAAGAAGGAAGCTGTGCAAATGAGCTATACCTAGTAGTTGGAAAAGGAGAGAGTTTACATTAGACATTTTTCTGTTTTCTTTTTTATTTCTTTTTTCTATATAAGGCTGCCACCTGAAAGTGAAGGTGGAAGAAGGTGAAAGTTGAGGAGACAAACATGCAATATTCTTCCTGGGAGGGGATAGGGGAGTATGTGCCTACTAAAGAAACTTCGTAAGATAACTGAAGAACTATTGATGCTCTTTAGATGTTTGGGAAGGTGATTTTTAACATGAAACCTGTCAGCTTAGTCACATGGTTTTTCTCTTGCAACATGTAACTTCTTGGGCCCAAACATGGAATTAATAGATTGGTATGTGCCATCAGGATTGAGGTTTTGCCTGGGAAAAATAATGAAGGGAGTGAGGGTGGTGGTGTTTGCTTGCTTTTGTCTAGACCATTGATCATTGAGTGAAGGTGTTTCTAGGAGTCATTATCAAGATGGACAGGAAATCTAGGCTAGAAAAATGAGGAAAAGAAAACTAGGAAAATGTTCCTGAATAGGAGGAAAATGATGGGATCATTGGATGGAGAACACAGAATTATATATTGGGGCTGTTTCTGCACATGAAGTGGTAGGATAGGAGGAAGTGATCTCAGGGTGACTTCCAGGTTTCTGAAACAGATAATCCTAGAGGAAGAAGGGCAGGTTTGGGGGGTAAGATGATGAGTACAGTTTTGGACAGGCTGTTTGAGGAACCTGTGGGATGTATAAGTGGAGATATCCAATAGGCAATTAGGTATATAGATCTGAGAGATCAGGGCTGTAAATATAGAGATTTGTCAGTTATCAGCATATAGATGATAACTGAAACATGGTAAGAGAAAAGATGTCGGAGAGGATTTGTGGGGTAAGAGAATGTGAGGGTGTGCAGTTTCCTTTTTCCATAACCAGAGTGGTTGCAGTGGTGGTTGGCATTTGGTTTTGTTTCTTTTCTGTCTGTATTGTGTCTCCTTTTTCAAATAAACCCTAGGAAATACAACATGGAATGATGGTAAGAACAGAGTTAAAGTCCTGTCTTTGCTTTTTCCTAGTATGTGCCTTGAGTAGTGAAACTTCTTAGAGCCTCAATTTTCTCAAATGTTAAAAACAATTGTATCAAAAGAATGAGAAGACAAACTGCAGACAGAGAGAAAATATTTGCACAAGACCTCTATGATAAAGGACTATTATCCAAACTATGAAAAGAACTCTTGAAACTTAATAAGAACACAAACAACCTAACTAAAAAGTGGAAAAAAGACACGAACAGACAACTCACCAAAGAAGATACATAGATGTCAAATAAGCATCTAAAAAGATGCTCAACATCTTATGTCATTAGGGAAATGCAAATTAAAACAATTTGTGATACTGCTACAGATCTATTAAAATGGCCAAAATTCAGAACACTGGTAATGCCAAATGCTAATGAGGATGTGGAGCAAAAGGAACTCTGATTCATTGCTGGTAGGAATGCAATATTGTACAGCTACTTTAGAAGACAGTTTGGTAGTTTCTTACAAAACTAAACATTTTTACCATGCAATCCAGCAATTGCACTCCTTAGTATTTACCTAAAGGAATTGAAAACTTGTATCTACACAAAAACCTGCACACAGGCATTTATAGCAGCTTTATTTGTAATTGCCAAATTTTGGAAGCAGTTTTGAAGATGTTCCTCAGTAGGTGAGTGGGTAAATAAACTGTGGTACATCCAGACATTGGAATATTATTCAGTGCTAAAAAGAAATGAGTGATCAAACCGTGAGAACATATGATAGAAGCTGAAATGCATGTTGCTAAGTGAAAGAAGCCAATCTGAAAAGGCTATATACTGTATGATTCCTTCTGGAATATATGACCTTCTGGAAGAGGAAAAATACGGAGACAGTGAAATGATCAGTGGTTGCCAGGGACTGGGAGAAGAGAGGGATAATTAGGCAAAGCACAGAAGATTTTTAGGGCCATGAAATCATTCTGTATGATGCTACAATGATGGATACACATCATTATACATTTGTCTAAACTCATAGAATGTGTAACACCAAGAGGGAACCCAAATGTAAACTATGGACTTTGGGTGATAAAGATACATCCGTGTAGGCTTACTGACTCGTTGTAACAAATGTACCACTCTGATGCAGGTTGTTGATAGTTGGGGAAGCTATGCCTGGGAGCGGGCAGAGGGTATATGGGAACTCTCTGACTTTCTGCTCAATTTTGCTGTGAACCTAAATGCTCTTAAAAAGTCTTTTTAAAAACAGAACAGCTGTGTTAAGAAACTGCATGGAGACAGGTCAAATAACTAAGAACTACTGGTCTAAATTCAAAATTACCTCTAGGTGTATAGGCATTTATGCATTCACTTATAGCTTAACTTATTGCTGCTTAATGGGAAAGTTTTGCTTCCCTTCCTCATTTTCACCTCCTCTGTTAAGTTTTTTGGTTTTGTTTTACAATGATGGTGAATAATTAAAGTCCTTGGAAAGATAGAATTATAGTCTAATGAATGTATAGATATAAATGTCTGGATTTTTATATTGCCAGGGGTAGAAATGATGAGGGAAACACTCAACCCCCACAATTAAAAGGCATTTATTTCACTATTCTAAGGAATATTTGAATCTCCTTTCAGTTGCATCAATTACCTTGCCTACTTTTACACTCAAGCAGCATTTCATACTTGAAAGCTTTTTAAATAGATGCAAAATACAGTATCAATCTACTTTGGGTACCAGGACCTCCCTCCCCTGTGTTTTCAAAAACATTTTCTGAAAAGACGAGAGAGGGATCTTCATTATACCCATGTATACAAAAAAGCATACGTCTGGATGAATGATACGTCTGGAAATTTATCCTACAGATGTTTTCACACATGTAGAAGGATATTCACTACAGCATTATATCATGTCGATAAATAGCAAAAGATAGCAATCTAAATGTCCATCGGCAGGGAACTGGTTAACTAAATGTTGATATATCTATAAAATAGAACAATGTGCAGAAGTTAAAAAGAGTAAGGCAACTCTGTATACTGATAGTAAAGTCTTCAAGATAATGCTGAGAGGGGACAACTGGATGCAGAACTGTATGTATGATATGCTGCCATTTGTGTAGAAAAAGAAACAAAATACTCGGCCGGGCGCGGTGGCTCAAGCCTGTAATCCCAGCACTTTGGGAGGCCGAGGCGGGTGGATCACGAGGTCAACAGATCGAGACCATCCTGGTTAACATGGTGAAACCCCGTCTCTACTAAAAATACGAAAAATTAGCTGGGCACGGTGGCGCGTGCCTGTAATCCCAGCTACTCAGGAGGCTGAGGCAGGAGAATTGCCTGAACCCAGGAGGCGGAGGTTGCGGTGAGCCGAGATCGCGCCATTGCACTCCAGCCTGGGTAACAAGAGCGAAACTCCGTCTCAAAAAGCAAACAAACAAAAAGAAACAAAATACTACCCCCCTCACATACATACATGCTTTTATGAAAAGAATATCTCTAGAATAATGCACAAGTAAGATTTCTCTCTAGAGAGGATATTCAGGTGCTGAAGGAAAAGGGTAGGGACTTTTCACAGTATACTCTTTATATCTCTTGAACTTTGTGCCGTAGTTAAAAACAAATAAAGAAATAAAATTCAAATTAAAAAAACCTGTCTTATAGAATTGTCACGAGGATTAAGTAAGTGAGTCATGTATATGATTTAATGCATCGCCTGGCATCTAGTTAAGTATATAATACTTAACTTGGCTGGGTACAGTGGCTCATGCCTGTAATCCCAGCCCTTTGGGAGGCTGAGGCGAGTGGATCACCTGAGGTCAGGAGTTAGAGACCAGCCTGACCAACATGGAGAAACACGAACTCTACTGAGAATACAAAAATTAGCCAGACGTGGTGGCGCATGCCTGTGATCCCAGCTACTCAGGAGGCTGAGGCAGGAGAATCACTTGAACCCAGTAGGCAGAGGTTGTGGTGAGCTGAGATCATGCCATTGCACTCCAGCCTGGGCAACAAGAGCAAAACTCTGTCTCAAAAAAAAAAAGCCTTTGTTTCTGTCCCTTCCCCTCCAGTTCCATAGCTGTTTGGAGGGTTCCCAGGATTTATTTTCTTCGCCTAGGCCAAGGATTGTTAACCTGAATGGATCGATGAATCTTTGAAATTGTATACCAAATTTTGTTTGAGTATATGCTTATTCTAGACTTCCTAGATTCTAGAGAGAAGAGAGTCTGTGACTTTAATAAGATTTTCTAAGGAAGGGAAGGTCCTAGCTGGGCGTGGTGGCTCACACCTGTAATCCCAGCACTTTGGGAGGCTGAGATTGGTGGATCACGAGGTCAGGAGTTCAAGACCAGCATGGCCAACATGGTGAAACCCCATCTTTACTAAAAATGCAAAAATTAGCTGGGCATGCTGGCACTCGCCTGTAATCCCAGCTACTGGGAAGGCTGAGGCAAGAGAGTTGCTTGAACCTGGGAGGCAGAGGTTGCAGTGAACCAAAACTGCACCACTACACTTCAACCTGGGCAACAGAGCAAGACTCTGTCTCAAAAAAAAAAAAAAAAAGGAGGGGTAGGGTCCCATGGCCCTAAAAAGTGAAAACACACTAACCTAAGCTGTTTTGCTATTTTTTGTCTCTTTCCACCAGAAAATACTCTGTTGTCAGATAGTTTTCTCTTTATAGCTAGGAAGAGTTGGGGGCTGAGTTTCTTTCCTCATAACTTTTATCTTTTCTAATTATGTCATGTTTGGGCAAGTGATTTAAAATTCCTGGGTCTCAACTTCTTCACTATAAAAAGACATGATTGACTGGACAAATTCAAAGGCTCCTTTCATCTTGAAAATGTTTTGATTCCTTCTAGGTTTACTATGTATAGGCTTTAAAAATTAGAAATATTGTCATAAACCCAGAAAAACTTTTATGCTAAGAATAATCTTTATGTAGAGACCTAAATCTGAACCAAGGGATAAAATATGAGGTTTGTATATACAAATCTAAGAGCATATGCCAGGCTGGGCGCAGTGGCTCATATCTGTAATCCTAACACTTTGGGAGGCTGAGGCAAGAGCACCACCTGAGGTAAGTGAGTTTGAGACTAGCCTGGCCAACATGGTGAAACCTCTTCTCTACCAAAAAAAAAAATAGCCAGGGGTAGTGGCACAAGTAGCTGAGTGAGGAGGGAGAATCGTTTGAACCTGGGAGGTGGAGGTTGCAGTGAGCTGAGATCGCACCACTGTACTCCAGCCTGGACAATAGCGTGAGATTCTGTTTCAAAAAGAAATCGAATGCCAACCTAATTCTGTACTGAACAGCCATGATTTATTTTCATACTAGCAATAAAGCTTCCTTACTAATGAGGTAGGGCTATGTAAGATGCTCTGGTGGTCCTGTGGGGCAGAGGTGACCTCTCTGTAAAACCCTCTCTCATTTCAAGGTCTTTTCTCTGCTTTGTTTTAGGAAAAGGGAAGAATAGTAGAACCAGTGAGCTGTAGTTCTACGCTAATAAAAAATGCCTCCATCAATATTGATCATTATCTGTTACTTGATTAAGTCCAGATCATAGTTCTTACTTATGAAAAATCAATCTATACACTTTAACTCAGATGTACATTTAGTTATTCATATTATTGTACAACTCAATTACTCTAAACATTTGTCCCAAATTTATCCTGTGGTCATTTTTGCCCACTTCTTCACAAAGTTTTATAGAAGCAGGGATTCTTGACCTACAAGGCAGTTCGGGGTTAATAAGAGTACATTCAACAAGCCTGTGAAGATAAGGGCATTTCAGATAAAGCATGCAAAGGTACCTGGATTCAGGTGTTAGCTCTGTGTCTTACGAGCTCTGATCTTGGGTCAGTCACTTATCCTGTCCATACTTGTCTCCTCGGTTGTGAAATGGTGACAATAAAAGCATCTACTATATAGCATTATTATAAGGATTAAATGAGATAATACATGCCAAAACAACATAGTATTTGGAATATAGAAAACATTCAATAAATGTAGTCTCTTTTTTTCTTATTGTTATTATTAAAGGCATGAAGATGTAAAGCACCATGACAATTTTTTCTGTTTTTGAGACAGAGTCTTGCTCTGTTGCCCAGGCTAGAGTGCAGTGGCACAATCTTGGCTCACTGCAACTTCTACCTCCTGGATTCAAGTGATTCTCGGGCCTCAGTCTCCTGAGTAGCTGGGATTACAGGTGTGCATCATCATACCAAGCTAATTTTTGTATTTTTAGTAGAGATGGGGTTTTGCCATGTTGGCCAGGCTGGTCTCGAATTACTGACCTCAAGTGATCCGCCTGCCTCAGCCCCCCAAAGTGCTAGGATTACTGGCTTGAACCACTGTGCCCAGCCAACAATTTATGAGCCTTAAGGAGTTAGGTATAGCATTTCTTCAAGACTCAAATCCAGTGTTGTTTCCCCAGTGCAGCCTCCCCAAATTTGACAGCTGTAGAGCTTTGTTCCCCTAGCTCTTTGCTTGTTATTGTAATCTCTTTTGCTACTGGACTATTAGTCCTTCTGTGATAGAAGCTTATCTTATTTTCAACAAATATATATTAAGTATCTGAATGTATCAGGCATTATGCTAGGTGAACAGTACAGATAAGGTCTCTGTTCTCTTGAACTTAAATTCTAGAATAAGAAAACAAAAAGTAAGTAGTTTCAGACAGTGGTAATTGAATAAAATTAAAAAGGTAATGGGGCCAGATAGAATGATCCTGGAAGTCCTTAAAGGAGTGACATTTGAGCTGAGACCTGGAGGATGAGCTCCTTGGATTGGGTAATAACACTTTTATTACTCAACTTCACCCATATACAGTCTTCACTGTGTTCTTCTAATTTCCTCCAGGATTACCTTAAGATGTTAATTACTGCATTTTAGTTTGTAGCACACATTCCATATTTATTTGTGCTTAGGTATAGCTCTGCTTTCCCTCCTCTCCATGAGTGAGCTATTGAGTTGATTTGTTTGAGTCTTTATTCTTTTTTTTTTTGAGACAGAGTTTTACTCTTGCTGCCCAGGCTGGAGTGCAATGGCGCAATTTCAGCTCACCACAACCTCAGCCTCTTGAGTTCAAGCGATTCTCCTGCCTCAACCTCCTGAGCAGCTGGGAATACAGGCATGCGCTACCATGCCTGGCTGTTTTTGTGTTTTTGGTAGAGATGTTTTGGTGGGGGGTTTTCTTCATGTTGTTCAGACTGGTCTCAAACTCCTGATGTCAGGTGATCCACTCACCCAGCCTCCCAAAGTTTTGGGATTACAGGTGTGAGCCACTGCACCAGCCCTGAGTCTTTATTCTTCATCCATCCATGTTTTAATCTGATCCACAGGACTGTGTATAAGTTAAATAGTACCATCCCTAGATGTTCCTCTTGGGTATATGTGCTGTTCAATTCTTGTTTATGCTTTCTCGTTAAGTAATAAGTCAGAAGCAGACTTCACTGTAAGCACTTGGGATGAGTTACTCACCATAGTAGATGATATGGGAATTCCAAACAGTAGTTTACACAGACATTTCTGTAATATTATTGACAAAAGTAAGAACTTTTTACTTAAGTGTAATCTAGCCCTCCCAAAGCTAGGCTGCAGCTGGAAAAACATCACCTACTCTTCCTTTTGCCATCTGTTTGGTGGCACCATAAGGACCTTCAATTCACTCTTCTTTTGAGACCTAGCCCATTCTGTTACCCTTCAAGCAGAATGCACTTGATAATTTTGGTGACCATTTAAGGAAATGGCCTTCTGTTGCACTTGGTTAGTCAGAAAGGTAAGAGTCTGTTTTCTGGACTTGAAGGGCCTCATTGGAGGAGTAAGCGTTAGAGTGCACTTTTCTATAAAGAAGCTAGGTTCCTTGGCTTCCATAGTGAGGTGTGGGACAAATAGATAGGGAGTTGAGTGAGTTGTTGATTATCAGAATTAAGAGCCAATTCTCTCCCAAGTTCGCTTTGTTGAATAAATCCCACTGCAGAGATTTCTTTCTGAATGTTCATAACCTTTCTCTTTTTTTGGACAGTAAAGAAAAAAAAAAGCAGAACAGCTCAAACATGTCTCAGTCACTGGATTTCTTGGCTTTCAAATTGCACTGGTTTTTTTTTTTTCCTTGTTAGGTACTATCTGAAAAAGAATTAAAGGAGATTCTTGTTATTTGAACTTCTAGGCCCTTTACTGTCTGCCGGTTATTCCAACATGTACAACTCCTACCTAAGTAGACTCTACTTCTAAAAGTTTATTTTTCTGTTCTATTCAGTTTTTCATCGCAGTTTTTCTGGAAGAGTTCAGGATGATTGCCATTTAAGTGGTGATTTGGGGTTTTATCTTTGTTTTGAGTGATACATTTTAAAGAGCTCACCTTGGCCGGGTGCAGAGGCCCACACCTGTAATCCCAGCGCTTTGGGAGGCTGAGACGGACGGATCACCTGAAGTCAGGAGTTCGAGACCAGCCTGGCCAACATGTTGAAACCCCGTCTCTACTAAAAATACAAAAATTAGTCAGGTGTGGTGGCAGACGGGTGGCAGCTACGTGGGAGGCTTAGGCAGGAGAATTGCTTGAACCCTGGAGGCGGAGGTTGCAGTGAGCCGAGATTGCTCTATTGCACTCTGGTCTAGGCCAACACAAGAGCAAAACTCTGTCTCAAAAAAAAAAAAAGCTTACCTTGTTTTTGTTAAAAATATTTCTCTTGTATTTGCAAAGGTATATGCCACAACTGAGAGAAAGAAAAAAGAAAAAAAAATTCACTTGTTTTCCTTTATAAATGATTAGTCTCAAAATAATGTCATAACTTAACCAGCAGCACAATGCTGTTTAAAATATTATATTGCAAAAGACAAAATAAGGTATATTATTATCAGTTATAAGTCTGAGGGAAATATAAAGTTCATTATATTTTCATTATTTATAATTTTTTAAAATTTCCTTGGGAGAGTCTTTTCTCTTTCATGAGTCAGAAAACTCTGAGTCTTTTAATTTCTTCTTTTTTTTTTTTTTTCTGAGATGGAGTTTCACTCTTATTGCCCAGGCTGGAGTGCAGTGGCACGATCTTGGCTCACTGTAACCTCCACCTCTTGGGTTCAGGCAATTCTACTCCTGAGTTGCTTGAACCCAAGCCTCCTGAGTAGCTGGGATTACAGGCATGCACTGCTATGCACGGCTAATTTTGTATTTTTAGTAGAGACCAGGCTTCACCAGTTGGCCAGGATGGTCTTGAACTCTTGACCTCAGGTGATCTGCCTACCTTGTCCTCCCAGAATGCTGGGACTATAGGCATGAGCCACTGTGCCTGGCCTAATTTTTTTTTTAAAGCAAACAGTTCATCCTTAAGTATTAGAAATAGCATAAATTTTATTTTATTCTAGAATATTATTAAATCCTAAAATAACAGTTTTAAATAAAAATTTTGGCCAGGCGCAGTGGCTCAAGCCTGTAATCCCAGCACTTTGGGAGGCCGAGGTGGGTGGATCACAAGGTCAAGAGATCAAGACCATCCTGGTCAACATGGTGAAACCCCGTCTCTACTAAAAATACAAAAAAAAAAATTAGCTGGGCATGGTGGCGTGTGCCTGTAATTCCAGCTACTCAGGAGGAGAATTGCCTGAACCCAGGAGGTGGAGGTTGTGGTGAGCCGAGATCGCGCCATTGCACTCCAGCCTGGGCAACAAGAGTGAAACTCCGTCTCAAAAAAAAAATTGCATTTATGAAAGTTAAAAAAAGTTTGGAATTTTATTTTAAAACAGGTCAAAGATATATACTTACTTTTTATGTTTCCACATAGGCATAAGGAACACTGTTGGATTTAAAAAATAGCTATTTATTGGATGATAGTGAAGTTACAGAGCTTATAGCGGGTATAACAGCAGAAACATAGTCAAAATCATAAGCCGAAAACACTTTTATTCGTACTGTAACCAATCTCCTTGAAAACCTTTAGAAAACACAAAAATATACAAACACACATTCCATTTAGCCAGCACAGTGATGACATCGTTACACATATAGGCTCTGGAAAACTCCACTCTACACTCATGAGAGAATGAAAAGTGAAAAAGACAAATGACATTTTACTATTATTATGAAAATGCTTTTGACCTCAAAAACCCCTGAATAAAAGGGTAAGGTGAAGAGGACATCCCCATTGGCAATGGTAGAGGCTATGGAAGATCGGGTCTTGCAAAATTTATTAGAAGGCCTTCCTGAAGAGAAGACCTTCTGAGGCACCCCTTTGCAGGTAAAAAGCATTCATGTCTTCTTTCTCCACAAAGCTTTTGTTAATCACCAGATCTGGCAATGGTCTCCCAGCACCTCTTAAAGCAGTGGTTCTCAAAATGTGGTCCATGGACTCCCGGGAGTCCTGATACCCTTTTTTACAGGGTCTGTGAGGTCAGAGCCATTTTCATAATAATACTAAGATGTTTGCCTTTTCTATTGTGTTGACATTTTGCACTAATGGTGCATAAGCAATGATAGGTAAGTAATTAATAACTGTTAGTTATCATTATATTAATCATTGGTATGTACTTACAGTTAACATCTTTTTTCTATTTTCAATTAGAATGTGTTTGATGAAGCCATTAAAATGATTAGTTTTATTAAATATCACTCCTAGAGTATAATTTTTTTAATGAAATAGGAAGTACATATAAAGTACTTTGGCTGCATGCTGAAATACGATGGTTGTCTTGAGGGAAAGCATTCACGATTGTATGAGTTGCAAATTGCACTAGCCTCCTTTTTTAAAATCGTATATCACTTTTACTTGACAGACAGACCATGGTTATTCAGACTTGGGCATCTGGCAGATATTTTCTTGAAAATGAACAAAGTGAGTGTCTCTCAAGGAAACTGACAGTATTTGTTGTCAATGATAAAATTTAAGCTTTCAAGTGAAAATTAGAATTTTGGAAAACCCAAACCTGCCACCATGAGCTTGACAGCTTCCAGTCAAGCTGTCCCCAGTGTAGACCTCTTATTTGAGCTCCAGACTGTCACATCTACCTGTCTATATACATACTATGTCCACATAAATGTTTCATATTCTAAATTTAACATGTCCACAATGGAATTTTTTGTTTCTCCCATAAAACTTATCTCTTTCATCCTGCCTCAATTTTTCTCATCTTAGTAAATCACCTCTAACCCAGTTGTTCAGACTAGAATTGAAGTCATTATTTCTTTTTCCTCACCTCCTACTTCCAATCCATTAGCAAGTCTTATGAGTTCTGCCTTTAAGATGCCTCAGCTCTGCTTGCTTTTCTTCCCCTTTGCTATCAACCTACTGCAAGTTATCATCATCTTGCACTTAATCTACTGCATCAGCTTTCTGATTGGTCTTCCTTTCTTGCCTGTCTATAACCAATTTTCCACGCAGCAGCAGATGTAAATCATGTTACTCTGTTGCTTAAAATCCTTTAATATTACCCATTATACATAGAATAAAATTCAAATTTCTTAGCTTATAATTCCTTTCATGTTTAGGCCTTTACCTCCTCATTCTTTACAACCTAAATCTCATTCAACCTCATTCTTTACATTCTTTTTCTTTTTTGGGGGGGCACAGTTTTACTCTTGTCACCCAGGCTGGAGTGCAATGGCATGTTTTTGGTTCACTGCAACCTCTGCCTCCCAAGTTAAAGCGATTCTCCTGCCTCAGCCTCCCTAGTACCTAGACAGGCACCCACCATCATACCTGGCTAATTTTTGTATATTTTTAGTAGAGATGGGGTTTCACCCCATGCTGGCCAAACTGGTCATCTGACATGAATCAAGAAGCAAAAATTATCCTAGAATACAAACCTTAAAGAAGACCTACAGAGCTGAGTCCAAACATGACAGTGCTCTGCCTTCCTGTTTCATCCCTCATACTGTAAACAAGTATCCTGTTCATAATCTGTTTATGCCATATTTAAATTTTCATTCTTTTTTTTTTAGTGATGGCACTGTGTAAAATGGTCCCCAGGTGTCGTGCTAAAGTGTTGTTAGTGTTCGTAAGCCCAAAAAGGCTGTGATGTGTCTTACTGCGAAAATGTGTGTTAGATAAGTTTAGTTCAGACATGAGTTATAGTGCTGCTGACTTTGGATTCAATGATAATATATTAAAATACATTAAATAAGATGTCTTTAAACAGAAGTACACATAAAACAAGATTATCTATTGACACCAATGCTGAAAATCACATACACCTAACCCTGTATCTTTCCTAGGAGCAATGGTTCACTGTTGGTAAATTTAGTGTTCATGGCAACTTTGTAGAATTCAACTACCTCAAATAATAAGAATCAGTGTATTTTATATATTTATTTTGTAGGACCTTAAAGTATCTCACAGACATTAGCTCATTCATCAACACAACTTCCAGAAATTGGCTGCTAGAGAATGAGTTATTTGTTATTTCGAAGATAAGAGAAAATTCACTGTGTAGGTTTTCCTTAAGGTTTGTATTCTAGGACAGTTTTTGCTTCTTAAATAGACAGTATTTTACCCTTGGATGTAAAAAGATCTGCTTGCTAATCATGGTTATGTTTGACTGATTTGCTTCAGAACTCATTAGAATATTCCCTATTTGACTTTAATGGGGAAAGGTTAAAAGGTAAAGCATTTTGAAAAGCACTCAGAGCTTTTTGGCAGAAAAGTACCGGGTAGAGAGAAATAATCATAGTGGTTATTATCACAAATGTAAAAAAGGTAATGATATAAATTGCTGGATACATGAAATTTGAATGTGCTATGCTGAAAATGGCTACTCACATATATATCATAGGAGCTTATCTCTCCTTCAACTCTGCATTCAAACCTTTGTCTAGATTCTGCTAATTCTTCCTGTATATGATTTCTCAAATTTGTTCCTTCTTTTTCATTTGTATGGTTATAATCTGGAAATGCACATTTTAACCATTTTCAAGGTTGACCTTCAAATTGCTCTCATTTCTTTCAGCCACATTTTCCCTTGAATGTAAGAGTTACACAGTAATAAACCATCTTGCTTAAGCATATTTTTATCACAATCTGCAGAGATATTACTGCCCTACTTAGAAACTTTCACTGGCTGCTAGTTGTCTATTTTTACATTACTATATACCACTGTCTCTTCATGTTCCTCAACTCTACAGGCTTTTCCACCCTATCCCCTATAATTGATGTCATCTCATAATTCACTGTGTGTGCAGAGGAACCTCTAGATGTTAATTCCTTCATCTTATTATAACCAAATCTATAAACCTGCCTGTGTCTATTCCTTTTTCCTTCCATTACAAAGGAAAGAAGTATTAGGACTTAGGCATCTTTGATGGGGGGCATTATTTTGTCTACCACACATTTCTATTTTTTTTCTTCTCAGTATAAAAGTGATATATCCTAATTCCAGAAAAATTAGAAAGCTGGCCAGCAATTTAGGAACTGTATAGGCCCTATTGATCTCCTAACAGAAATAGAGATCATATTGATTAAGAAGGGAGGATCTCTGAATACTTAAGGCCTTTAAGATGCTCCAAGAGTTTGCCAAAAGTCACAGAGGAGAAAAGTATCACCTTCCACAAAAAATCCATGGGAAAAAGGAGCACTGTAAGACTTCTGGAAAGGTATTTAGCTTCTCTAGGTTTTGGCTTCTTTATCCTTAAAATAAGAAATTGAATTCGCTGATTTTTTTTTTCTTTTTTTTTTTTTTTTTTTGAGACGGAGTTTCACTCTTGTTAGCCAGGCTGGAGTACAATGGCGCGATTCGGCTCACCGCAACCTCCGCCTCCTGGGTTCAAGCAATTCTCCTGCCTCAGCCTCCTGAGTAGTTGGGACTACAGGCGTGCGCCACCATGCCCAGCTAATTTTTGTATTTTTAGTAGAGACGGAGTTTCACCAGGTTGACCAGGATGGTCTCGATCTCGACCTCGTGATCCACCCGCCTGGGCCTCCCTAAGTGCTGGGATTATAGGCGTGAGCCACCACGCCCGGCCGAATTAGCTGATTTTTTAAAGTATTGTCTTTATTAATATATAAAGGCTAGTATCTACATTCTACTACAAATTAATCAAAAGAGATGAATAGATAACATACAGATGTGCTAGTTTTTAATCAAATCAGTGTATAGTGTTATTTCAGGATTCAGTCAGTTACATTTTCACAGTCAGAAAGACAAGGAAAGACTGAGAAGCTGTCACAGATTGGAGAAGAACAAGGAGGACAACCAAATGTAATGTGGGATCCTGGATGCCACATTGGTGGGACATTGGTGGAAAAACTGGCTAAATCCAACTAAAACCTGTAGTTTAGTTAATAATTAATAGTATTATGAGGTAATAGTATTGCACCAATGTTCATTTCTTAGTTTTGATAATTGCTGTGATTTCATAAGACGTTAACCTTAGAGGACTCTAGGTGAAGTACATATGGAAACTCTCTGTACTGTTTTTGCAAGTTGTTTCTATGTCTAAAATGATTTCAAAAGAAAATTTTTTCTATTAATAAAAAGACAGTAAGAGTGGAAAAGCAAGCCACAGAGGGAGAGAAGTTGTTTGCAAGATTTATGACCACAAAGAACTCAAAATTAGAATATTTAAATAACTCATACAAATTGGTAAAGGAAAGACTGACAATAGAAAAATAGGCAAAAGACTTGAAAGACTCTTCGATGATGTCCAAATAGCCAATAAGCATATTAAAATGTGCCTGGCAATGCACAGGGTTCTCATCTCCAAGTTGGAACTCTTGTATATTGCTAGTGAGAATGTGAAATGGTGCTGGTGATAATCCATGTAAAATTAGACAGATTTATTATATGATCTAGCAATTCCACTTGT